ATATATATATATGTATGTATATAATTCTTCTTACATCTAGGCAAAAATAGCAAAGAAAAAATGTTTGATTATCCTCATTTTAGGAGTGTTATTTGCAATCCCATATAATAAAGAGCTAATATGCTAATTAGACCGGATGGTGGAACGACCTTCCAGAAAAACATTCTAGACAACCTTCTGGAACAACCAGTGGGTGAGGCCATGGGGCCACCAGGGCCGTGAGGCAGCCAGGGCCACAAGGCAGCTGGACTGCGCGGGCCAAGTCCCTTGGACAAATTTTGGGCCTGTAATCTATATATATATATATGTAAAAGGCTAATATGCTAAGTGTCCCTCCACCTGTCCAACCAGTCACTATGACATGCACTGACCACCAGAGGGCAGACACTCAACACAGGAGCTGCCGAGCTGCAGTGACTTGGCAACAGCGGTTCTCGGGTGACACACCCCAAAACCAGAGAGGAGGGAGCCCAATTCCTCGCGGGGCTGTGTGATTCCACCTTCGGCCGTGGGTTATGTTGTTGCTGGGGCACTGTCGGCCCCAAATCTGGTTTACTGCACAATCGCATTTGCGTTGCACACCCCGTACAACAGCAGCTTTGCAGAGTGCCCTCTCGCACTCCAGGACCCCTCAGGGGATGTTGGAGAGCCAGTTTCAGCCTGATCCCCACAGGCCAGGCCAAGGGACCCCACCTGCCGGAGGGACCCTGCTCACTCCACAGATGCCCTTTGAGTCACGGTGCCACCCCAAATGCGGTGGCCGGGGAGGGACTGCAGGATGTTGGCTCTGGGGTGTGTCTAGCCCTTCTCACCCAGTCCTGCCCCACCAGCCACCTTCTAATAATAATTTCCTTTCAATGTGCACGAACCTGTGCACTTGGTCACTAGTTAAATAAAAAAATAAATAAATTGCAAATTCAAAAAAAAAAAATAAAAGTGGCCAAAGCATTACATTGTTAAAACAAATGCACTAAATTTGTCTGGAGTTATTGTCCCCACTACAGCATATGGTTGATGCTGATTTAAAACTAGCTGTGTTATTAAACTGAGTCCCGTTTTGTTTGTTTGGAACAGGTTGGCTCAAAGTTAATCTCTTGTCACAAACTGGTATTGGCTTGCGTTATTCCCTACTTCAGAGCCATGTTTCTCTCTGAAATGGCTGAAGCCAAGCAGACAGTGATTGAGATTAGAGATTTTGATGGCGATGCAATAGAAGACCTGGTAAAGTTTGTCTATTCTTCACGGCTCACTCTGACTGTTGACAACGTCCAGCCTCTCTTATATGCAGCCTGCATTCTGCAGGTGGAACTGGTGGCTAGAGCTTGCTGTGAATACATGAAGTTACATTTTCATCCCTCCAATTGCTTGGCGGTAAGAGCCTTTGCGGAAAGTCACAATCGAATAGACTTGATGGACATGGCGGATCAGTATGCCTGTGAGCACTTTACTGAAGTAGTGGAGTGTGAAGACTTTGTAAGTGTGTCACCCCAGCATCTCCATAAGCTTTTGTCCTCCAGTGATCTAAATATTGAGAATGAAAAACAGGTCTATAATGCAGCCATCAAGTGGCTTCTTGCCAATCCTCAGCATCATTCCAAATGGTTGGATGAAACGCTTGCACAGGTAGGGACTGAAATAAGATTGTGTATAGAAATGAATGATTTGGAAGCAAATCAACATGTTTCACTTGTCATGAAAGGTGTAAATTATCACTTGATGTAAAACAATGTGAAAATGGCTTTGACTCTTAACTTTCCTATTTATTATACTGTTTAACAGTAAATCTGAATTTGTTACATTTGATTTAGAAATATCATTCTCTGCATATAGATTTGTTCTGGAAAGAACTACAAGATATAACTTTTCCATTTTCTTCCCTCACCACAGTTTTACTTTTTAAATCTCAGAAATGTATCTCTATTTTAGTCATTTATTTTTACTGTCAACAGGGGTTACTTAGGAAGATAAATAGGCATTAGAATTACTTTGAAAATAAGTTTGTCAACAAAAACAAACAAAAAGTTTCATTATCTTGCAGCTGTATCTTATTTTTGTGTGTGTGTGCATGCTTTTAACTCAAAATTGTATTGCCTGGTTTGATCATGCCTTTGCTCCACTGGAAAATCAATGCTTCTTTTAAGAGAGGAAAAGTGAGTGCCTCTCCATAAAGAGGGTATGCATTCTTGAGTTAGTATATAATCTTCTAAGGTAATTGATTTGAAGAAAACAAATCAATTTTCAGATCTGAATGTTTGTGTGTTTCAGAAATAGATCACATTTTCATGTGTTCAGTCTTAGCTTTAAGGGGGAAAACAGCAAAGCACAGAGTTTTGTTTTGATTGTGCCTTTTCTTTAGCAGCAAGGGGTCTTCTAATCATGACAGTACCATTTTGGAAGAAATTTGAATGAATATTATTGAATGAATATTATTTATTTAGTCTACTTAAAGCTGTACTTAAAAGGGGATAATACATTTAGCATATAATCTGCTTTCATTAGTGCAGACTGGTACTAGAAATTGCTTTAGAACTAGGCACATTGTACTTTAAGTCTTTATGACATAGTAAATGAGTTTTAAAAGGGTAATATGCTGCAGTGAAAGTGGAGGATGAGCTATCCAGTTACAACTTAAATTTTATATCCATAACTGTTCATGATCTTAGGTTCGTTTGCCGCTGTTGCCGGTGGATTTCCTTATGGGTGTTGTGGCAAAAGAACAGATTGTCAAGCAAAATCTAAAATGTAGAGATTTATTGGATGAAGCAAGAAATTACCACCTTCACTTGAGTAGCAGAGCAGTACCTGACTTTGAATACTCTGTTCGGACTACACCAAGGAAGCATACTGCTGGTAATTAAATTACTCGTTTATCAACTCTGCTGGAAGGATCTTTGTTGTATTTGAGGGTTGGGTATGTATGCCCAGACTTGATTGTAAGATGATTAGTATCTGATTGCCTTAGAGCAGTGGTCGGCAAACTCATTAGTCAACAGAGCCAAATATCAACAGTACAACGATTGAAATTTCTTTTGAGAGCCAAATTTTTTAAATTTAAACTATATAGGTAGGTACATTGTTATTAACTTAATTAGGGTACTCCTAAGGCTTAGGAAGAGCCACACTCAAGGGGCCAGAGAGCCGCATGTGGCTCGCGAGCCGCAGTTTGCCGACCACTGTGTTATATGCCCAACATATGCTGAGTCCTCATATACACGATCCCTTACATGATTGCAAGAACTTAATGAAGCAGGTTTTAGTAAATGACTCAGTTCTCATTAGGAGATAGCTAGTGTTATTCCATTTTATGGATGAGGAAACTAAGAATCAGAGAGGCTAAAAGTATGCTCAAGGCCACATAGAGAAATAGCAGAGAAAGGATTTGCATCCTGATCTTTTTGCTTCATTCTTCGTTTTCTTCCACATCATATAGGTTAACTGTGAAGCTGAAATACTGATTTCCATTTAAAGAAAATCTTATCAATGATTGGGATTACATTCTGGCATTATAATTCCATCACTGCCATTAAATATCTATATATTGGACAGATTTCTTTTTTTTTGGTTAATCCTCACCTGAGGATATTTTTCCATTGATTTTTAGAGAGAGTGAAGGGGAAAGAGAAGGAGAGAGGGAGAGAGGAAGGGTGGAGAGGGAGAGAGAGAGAAAGAGAAACATTGATGTGAGAGAAATACATCGATTGGTTGCCTCCTGCCCGCACCCTTACCAGGACTGAGGTCGAACCTGCAACCCACATATGTGCCCTTCACTGGGAATCAAACCCTCAACCCTTGAGTGCCTGGGCCAACACTAACCACTGAGCACACCAGCCAGGGCTGGGCAGATTTCTTAATCTCTGAAGGCCTTGATTTATTTATAAACAATTTTGACTATATGATTTTTAAAGTCACTTCCAACTTTAAATTTCTACGACTTAAAATATTGAATTAGTTGGAAAAGAGTGCACGCAGTTCTGATCATGCATTTACATAATCATTCAGCAAACATTTATTCAGTGCCTACCACGTGCTGGATTCTAGGTTGAGCATTAGAAATGCTGAGAGTACTTGCAGTCTGATCTAGGGAAATAGACATGTAAATAAATAAATGTAAAGTATTACAAACACTTTGATACAATCATAAGGCATAGTGGGAAGCACAAAGAAAAGAGTGGTTATTTTTACCTTTCGAGGATCAGAAAAGGTTTTATAAAAAAGTAAACCTCAGGCTTAGTTTTTAATAATACATAGATGTTTTTCTGGGTGCCAGTTAGGGAAAGGGATATTCTGTTCATTTTACATGTACTGAATGCCTACTGTATGCCAGGCACAGTGCTAGTCCTTCTTAGTGCATAAATACTTAGCACACAGTCTTAACCTGGCTTCGCTTCTGGTGACAAATGTCGCTATAATAGATCACTTCGAGGATGAGCACAACTACATGCCTGTTGCAGGAGCTTGAAGTTTTAAGAGAAAGAGAGGGAGAAGATCGGGTTAGGCACTGCATGCTGTTATGCTGTGCTAAGGCTTGATCTTGTAGGGAAGTTTCTCAGTGTGTGAAGGAAGTGGTGGCCCTTGGACCAATAGCGTCAGCATTCACTTGGCAACTTGTTTGAAACACAATCTTGGACCTACCACAAACCTACTGAATCAGAAACTCAGGGCCCCAGAGTCAGTGTTTTATGCCTTTGGGGTGATTCTGGACCACACTAAAATTTCAGTTTCTTGTTAATTGTGGTAAATATGTAAGGATACCACATTTTATTGCACTTCGCTGACATTGCACTTTTTTTTTTTCCTTTTTGGCAAAGTAAAGGTGAGACCCGCTGCCAAAAAAAAGGATTATGACTTGCTGAAGGCTCAGATGATGGTTAGCATTTTTTAGCAATAAAGTATTTTTAAATTTAGTTGTGTACAGTTTTTAGACATAATGCTATTGCATACTTAATAGACTATATAGTATAGTGTAAACAACATTTATATGTACTGGGAAACCAACAAAATTTGTGTGACTGGCTTTATTGTGATGCTGGCTTTATTGCAGAACTAGACATGCAGTATCTCGCAGGTATGCCTGCATAACATTAAAATTGCTATTTTTAAATGTACAATTTAGTGGCATTGCTAACATTTGAAAGAAACTACTAATGTAGGTAATGAAGAGCTGTTGAAAGAACTTTTAATTAGATTGCTCTGTTACAGTCCGAAAGCAAAAAGACTACTAAGTGATAAGAGAGGACGGGATCTTGCAGTAGTTGGGGGTCATCATAGCTGACGAGGGCCTGCACTCAGGCAGTGGCAGTGGAAATAGAGAGGGAGAGGAAGGAAGAGGGGTAGGTAAGAGAGGAAGCCAGATCCTTTTGAACATGTTGGGTTTGGGTGCCCATAGGACATCAAGTGGAAATATGGCTTAGAAATATAAATTGGAAGGCATTATCATACAGATGGAATTTAAAATAGAGGAATACACTTGATGCTTGAGCATGATGTATGTGAGAAGTAGGCTAAGGATAAAACATGGAAAACATAGGAAAGAAATGATTAGACACAAAAGGAGACTTTGATATTAGGGAAACTAAGAGAGTTTAAGGAGTTTCTCAAAAAACAGAGTGATTGGTATTGCAGTTGTGTTCAGTAAGAAATTAACAAGAGTTCACTGGATCTTGTTAGGACCTTAGCAAGAGCAATTTTGCATAGTGGGTGAGGATCTAAACCAGTGATGGTGAACCTACGACACCTCTGACACGCGAACTCATTTTTTTGGTTGATTTTTTCTTTGTTAAATGGCATTTAAATATATAAAATAAATATCAAAAATATAAGTCTTTGTTTTACTATGGTTGCAAATATCAAAAAATTTCTATATGTGACACGGCACCAGAGTTACGTTAGGGTTTTTCAAAATGCTGACATGCCGAGCTCAAAAGGTTCGCCATCACTGATCTAAACCATATTGTAATGGGATGTTGGGAAGTGGGGGTGGCTAATGTATCCTATTCTTTGAGAAATTCAAATGAGGAAAAACAAAAAAGAAAATTAGATTCTAGTAACGTAGTAACATTGACTGCTACCCACTTTCTTTGCCAGTAATCAAATTTTTGACTTCCTAAATATTTTTTTCCATACTAATTTTTTAAAAATTAGGGAACTGTGATTTTGACCTCTATTTTGTGGCTTTACCTTTAGGTGTGCTGTTTTGTGTGGGTGGTCGAGGTGGATCTGGTGACCCTTTTCGCAGTATTGAATGCTATTCTATCAACAAAAACAGTTGGTTCTTTGGACCAGAAATGAATAGTCGAAGGCGACACGTGGGTGTAATCTCGGTGGAAGGTGGGTTCATTCTTGTCTTAAGTCACATCACATGATCATAAATGCTCTTTTAAACTATTTGAACTTTGATAATTCTTTCTATAAGAAATATGTTTTAATATATTTTGGTGGTATTTACTTGCTTTATGCCCATTGATGCTCAGTGTACAATCTCTTGCATATAGTTGCTTTACAGGAAATGAGTATCCAGGAGAAAGGGGGTTAAAATAAACTACTGTGAATTATATTTGCAAAAGAATCAAACTAAAGAAAAATGTTTCTTGAACCCAAATAATAAACACATACCAGCTTTTTTCTATACCCATCTAATTATTATTGAAATTAGATTTTTTTTTACTGGTTACTGAAAATGATTAATTGTAGAAAACCATGGATAAATTGTTAGATTTTTAAAAAATCACTTTTATTCTGATTATAAGCATGTAAATTTTTTTTAGAAAATATGAAAACATTTTAATAAGAATCATCTATAACCCGAACACCCCAAAACTATCACAGTTAACATTTTGATATATAATCTTTCCAATTTTTTGTGTACTTTTATTTCATTTAGAAAAAGTTTTATCATATTGTGTTGTTTTATATTTTCTTTATGTAACATAAGAGCATTTTTTCATTTTATAAAACATTCTTTAAAAGCATGATTTCATCTACTAAATAATAAAAAGTTGGGAAACCTGAGGGATAGTGTTTGAGCATTTAAATAACTTCATGTGGAACAGCACATTCCAGGCATTTTATTAAGTAGAAGCTCACATTTATTTCCATTTAACTACAAAAGTGACATTGATCATAATGTTGAACAGAAGAATACTTGTGAAAAATTATTATTCTCTTCTATTATATGTTGATTATACATGTAAATAACTGTCAGTTTATTTGGAATCAAATGAAAATACTTCTCTGTCTGGCAGGTAAAGTGTATGCTGTGGGTGGACATGATGGAAATGAGCATTTAGGTAGCATGGAGATGTTTGACCCTCTCAATAATAAATGGATGATGAAGGCATCAATGAACACAAAGAGGTAGGTCAGCATAGTTGGTTGTCACAACTTGGGTTGGGGGCAGGGAGGTTGGGGGAGTTGCTTCTGGTATCTTATTGGGAGAGGCCAACGATGCTGCTAAAGATCCTGTAAATGCACAGGAGTCTCCCACAATACAGATGATCTGGCCCCAAAAGCCAGGAGTGCTGAGGCAGAGAAGACCTGCTGTGTGCTCATCACCCAAATCCCGTAATGTTGACATCTTAAACCATCACAGGGCAGTGATTGAAACCAGGAAATGAACATCAATACAAAACTGTTCACTAATCTGTAGGCCTCATTCAACTTTTGCCTGTTTTTTCACATATTTTTGTGCTTCTAATGGTTTTTCTTTTCTAATTGTATTGGTTAATAATCTAATACAGTGTGAATAGAAACAGAGATAGGTGTTTTTGCCTTGTTTCTGATCTTAATGGAAATGTCCTGGTGTTTCCCTATTAGGAGAATGGTTTTAGGACTAAGCTATATGTATTTTAACATGATAAAATACCCCACAATTTCTATTCATTATTTTTAATCATTATGAGTATTAATAGTTAAAATCTTCATCTACAGTAAATTAAAATATATGTTGATAAGTGGATCACTTTAAAGGGGAGGAAGATTTTTTAGTAACATGACTTAGTAAATGTTGACTAGCCCATTCAGAATTTTTTAAAAGACTCAAAAACCAAATTTTTAGATATTCTAAAGTGGAAGGATAGCTAATATGTGACAAAATCAGCATTCAAAAATGTAGTAGACCAAACATACTCTAGATATAGAGGCAAACCTTAAAAATATTAAAATTAGAGTTACAGATAAAACCTGCTTGACGTGTTTTAAAAAAATCAATTACACCAGTACAACACAGTGGGAAGTCAGGTTTGTGATTTTGTTTCATATGGAAAAAGTACCTGAACCAATCTAAAGGCACAGCTCTAAAAAAAAAAAAAAAAGAAGAAAGGAAAAAGCGAATATAATATAGTTTCCTACATTAAGCGAATTGAAGCCTTTGGATCAATGGAGATTGTATATAGTTGTACTGTTCTTTATGCTGATTTGTCCATATCTATAGCTGTGGTTTCAAAAAGTAGGCTATGTAATATCAGTTGGGGTGTGGGAATACAAAATGAGACTCTACAATTTTAATTTAATAATTTTAAATTTATTTTGAGTGGATGTTCTATAGTGAACATCATCTGTAGAGTAATATATGTTTTTACTTTGAAAATAATTATGGTATACTAGAGGCCCGGCACACAAAATTTGTGCACGGGTAGGGTCCCTAGGCTTGGCCTACCCCGCCCCCTGCCACTACTGCAGGTTGCCCTCTGTGTGTGGGGCAACTGGCAGGGTGATCGGGGTCCCACTTGCTCGCACCCACCTTGGTCTGGCACCACCCGCATCTGCCGCCACTCCTCCCCTCCCCCAGTTCCCTGTTCCCTATATGGCGATCGGAGCCTATTGGCCAGGGGAGGGACTAAGAGGTTGGCTGGCAGGCCCTGATCAGGCGATCTGGGCCTGTGGGCTGGGGACAGCTTCTGCGTTGAGCATCTGCCCCCTGGTGGTCAGTGTATGTCATAGCAACCAGTCAATCTGCTGTCCAGTCTTTTATGTTTTTACTAGAGGCCCGGTGCACAAAAATTTGTGCACTCGGGGGGGGGGGGGGGGCCCTCAGCCCAGCCTGCACCCTCTCCAATCTGGGACCCCTTAGGGGATGTCCAACTGCCGGGTTAGGCCTGATCCA